ATAACAGAGATTTACTGCAGCAGAAATCATATAAACATTTGATGCATGTAGCATTTTGATTACAAATCTGGCAAATGGGTTTTTAAAAAAAAAAGTTTATATTCTTCTTTAACCTTTTAAACTCCACGTATGATCCCAGACAGCACAGTAATGTTTAAAACGTACATGTTGGACGTTTGGACATATTAAAAACATCCATATTAGATCCATGGATATTTTAAAAACGTTTTAAAAATATCCAGTGTTACCATTTTCGTCCATTTTAGGATGCAATGGACTAAAACTGGACTAAATTCATATATTAAACAAATTTTAGATCACAATCCAGACAAATTTGCACACTGAAAGCAAAATGATTACTAACTTTTACCATTGCGAGCAGCAAGCTATTGTTACTTGTCGCTTGTTGCGTATCTGAATTAAGCTTTAATTTAATAAATTTTCGCGTTACCGGAGGTAACAAAAGTAAAACTCCTCGTGCGATCCTTCGCAAGTCAACGAAAGCAATACGTCACAAGCAGACTTACAAGTAAAGCTACCCAAGTGTCATACGCCGATTTTTTTGAGCTTTTAGAATGTTGTCCTCCAGATAAAAATAAGCGACAGGTATTTTTTTTATACGGGCCCAAATTCACTTTTAAGGGATGAAACACTTGAAAAAAAATCGGTTTTTCTCTTTCGAAGCGAATATCATCGAAACTATAAGAGATACAAAAAAATTTCTAGAATAAAAATTGAATGGTTTTAGGAGTACTTTAGAACTATGATAAAAAAAGATTTTTTAAATTATTTATTTATTGTGTACTCCCACCCCCGCCCTTATTTTCAAAAATTTTTACACTTTTATGTGACGAAAATTAAAGAGTATTTTTTACTGAAAACAACGGTGTGTATTTAAATCACTTTCCGAAAAACCATTTTTCAGATATAAACGAAAAAACGTCTATATGTACGCGCTTTGTACGTATTCGTACACACGTGTGTGGGAGGAATACCCTTGCTTCTCACGTTTGGGGTGCTTGGTTTATAAATTTAAATTTAATCCTAGAAACTCAAATCGAAAGTCAAATTCTTATTATCATTAGGTAGACTTTGTATAACTTCTATTGTACATAACGCCCTTTAGAGACGCCATTCAAGCGAAATATTGCACAGTTGAACTTTACTCGGCGAGACTATTCCAACGAAATATGTATTTTGTATCAATTCACAATTACCACTTTAATTAGCACTTTCTTTGTTAGATCATAAAAGATGGCATATAGATTAACATTTTTAATCTGGCTGTAGCAGCTAATTAAAAATACTGTGCCATATATTTAGTCAATCTTTTCTTTTAGTGAAGCAAATACAAATTAGCAGTAACATATAGTTTTGATATAGTTATAACATAGTTATAATTTCTTACTTAACACGTAACTATAACCGTAATGTGACACATGTTGTACGTAATGTAACAATTATTATATGAATGGCAAGTTATAATTAATTAAGTTATGTTACTAAATTGATGGTTACTGGGACATGTATATTCAAAACTTCTTTCGTACCGGAAGCCTAGCATATAAAAATTACGTGATCGAATTAAATTGTAATTGACGTGTGTAGGAATTAGCATTCCGTCGTGTAGTCCGAATGAGTCACAATTCACGACATGCGTACTGTTGATTGCGGAGGCGTAGATAATACTTAAGCTACAATAATTAACTTAATTAAGGATAATTTTAATCTGGAATACTTTTGCGTAAATTAATCGTGCCGAATTGTGTATGTAAAGCAAGCGCGGGTAAATGATGTTTATGCAAATTGTTATGTGCATATAATGTATAAGATATTCTTATTAATATATGTACACACAAAATTTGATTTAATTCTTAATGTTACTTTCTCATCAAATTTGTAAATAAGCATTATAAAATGCTTTTATATAAAAATCAAGATAAACAAACGAATTAAGTAATGACTGTTAAATCAATAAGAGAGATTATATATGCTCAAATTTTACACAAATATTCATGGCGTAATAATAAAACAATTTATAAAATTTTTATATTTTTGGTATTATTTTTAAATATATCATAAATATATTCTTAAGAATTACAGAATTTCATGAAGATTATGATTTTCGTGAACTTTTTAAGATTTTTTCTAGTCCCCCCCCCTCCTCTGTTTTTTCTTATATGTATTTCTATTGTATATTAACATTATAAAATTATAAACTCTATAACTATAAAATATATTTGTAAAGTATATATTTATAAAATACTTGAATTTTTTTAAAGAGTAAAATATTTCTAATTTCTCTTTTTATCTCTAAATTATAATAAACATTAATAAATACTAAATAATTTAATAGAACAGAAAATATACACACACACATATTACATGTTTCGGCTTTACGTTTAAACCCTCTTTAGATATAATACAAAAAAAGTATACGCAATGAAAATATTAATAATAATCGCAAGATACAATGAGACACAAATAATTTCGTTGAATTTTTAACGTTTAACGAATATTTGTAGCAAAGAAAACAGAGGAAATTCAATATTTATCAAACATTACAAATTCAACAAAATTATTTGCATCTCTCATTGTATTTTACGATTATTATTAGTATTTTCATTGCGTACACTTTTTTATATTATATTATATTTGAAGAGGTCTTAAACTTAAAGCCAAAACATATATATAATGTATATTTTCTGTTTTATTAAATTATTTAGTGTTTATTAATATTTATTATAATTTAGTTTTTGAATGTTTTATTACTTTTTTGACTCTTATCGCCTTTAATATTACACAATTGTTTTTTAATATTGAGAGTCCTTTATTTTCTTAGTTATTAATTCTTTTTATTTCTTTAATTAAATTTTAATCCTCACTTCTTATAAGATGAAACAATTAATGAACGGAAAAAAATAAAAAGAGAAAATTTACATATTTAAAAAAATGTAATATACTTTATTTATTTTTATGTTTTATGACGCAATTGTATCAACTTTCATTTTTATCAATATATTTTACCAAATCATCGGCCATGAAGACGATTATATTCGGTGCTGGTTCGTAACCATATGCAGTTCCAAACAGAATAAGACAAAAAACCTGATAAATATTAATCCGTAATTGTGTCATTAAATGCACCATCTTCACGACGATTTTTTGAAACTGTTTTTAAATATACAGAATTTCCAGAAAAAAAAGAGAAATAAACTTCACTCTTCGTCTACGCGCGACTTATTTTTCACACCTCGCGTCACTCGGCAGCGATACTCGCGTAAACAAAAGGAAGATACATCATTTACACCACATATAAATGCACCGACGAGCTCTTGCGAGATAGGAGCAAGAAGATGAGACAAACAACGTTTATATATCCCACCCACGAAAGAGCGTCATGAATGGATCAAGAGAAACGGGAATAAGGGAACATGTATACTAATGATCACGACAATGACAAAGATAACGTGTCTTAAACTGGGTTGCTTCTCGTCTTACAACCTATTTTCCCTACTTATCTAATTCCTTTTCACAACTACTTACGTTCACGTAGGATTAAGAAGATGTGACGTAAGAGAGAAGTATTACAAAGAAGCGCAGTACCCCTTCATCCTTACGTCTGAGGTTTCATAGTCATCTTCATGATTAATGATGTCGGATGCTTCTCGTAAATTTAAAATATGTAAATAAGCGAAAAAGTACAAAAGATTAATAATATGTTTTGTTATAAAATATGTAGCACAATTATTAAAGTGAAGTTTATATAGCTAATCTAAAAGTCGTAATAAGAAATTTTTAGAACATATTAAATTAAATTTTTTTTGCCTTTGCATCCAAATTATATTAATCACTTACATTTTTTTATTATATGCATACACAGAGTAGTAGAAATAATGTTTGTATGCCTAAAAAATTATAACAAAATATACCGCAAATTTCCTGGATTTTTTTTATTGTGTCCTACCTAACGTTAAATTAATTGTTATAAATATACTTGAAAAACGACGCATGTAAAGTTATAATGTTATTTATACATTCCCACAAAAATGTATACACGTCACTGCATAGTTAAAAACAGGAAGCATTATAGTAGCATTACATTTTATATTCAATATCCTTTTTCATGAAAAAAAAACCATCAATTGAAAAAGATTTATTCTACATCTTTTATTTATTTTCTCGTTAAAGAAGTCGTCCCTTCATCGATTACAGTATTATTCACTGAGAGTCTAAAATACATCATAGGCACTTTTTGCTACTATAATAGATATTGCTGTCGACATTGACGCAACGAGTGACGTACTAAAACAATTAAGACGTCCAAATAATTGAGAACGCCTGGAACAAACGACCAGCTAAATAAGCGCATACTTATATATCCACAGCCTTTAGAGTCGACAAAATAAAATAGTGGAGAAGTGTGTGCGTCGCTCATTAAAAGCTATAAATGTAATTCACAGTCTGGGCACAATGTGCAGGCAAATTGATCCCAGAATATAAAAAGGTACGAAAATTAATTAATTAGGAAAATGTAGTAGAAATAAAAAATATTGAAAAGATAAAAGTAATGTAAATTTCACACAGTAACAAATTTATTTTTCTTACATTCGTATATAATATTTAATAAAATATATATATGTATATTTTGCAAGGAAATACTCAAGTTACGATATTTAGATGCAAGGATTCATCCTTTCATAAAAATTTAAAAACAATTAGTCAAAATTACATACATTTATCTGTTATATATTTAGGAAAGTTAAATTTTTCCAGATACATAAATTGCACGATGTAAGAATACATAAAATAAATAAGATAAAAAGACACAGGTACAAGAATCCCATAAACTTAAATCCATAGAATCTAATTCCTATTAGATTCCTTATTATAAATCTAAATCCAATTCCTCAATAATACAAATTATAGGAATCGTTATTTGAATTATTTCAGCAACTCGTGTAATATGTACAATATACATTACACGAGTTTTACTTTGGTAATAAGAAGCTTGTTCGTTTTAACTAAACTTCTTGCATGGTTTTTCTCAATTGTCCTCTGTCTCTCTTTATGTTGGAGAAAAAAATAAATGTTGCACAAAGAATTTAACTAAAAAAGAAAACAGACATGCTCTATATATGAATATTAATCAGTTAATTTTTTTGCTACTATAATAGTAATATTTTTTAGTTTTATATTTATATTTTATTACTTTTTAAATTTAAATGTATTGACATTATAGTATTATTTTTACATGAATTTTTCATCTTTTGATTCTTACATCGCCTTTTCTGATTTATATTGATTACTCAGTTAACTCATTTATATTTTGGTGATCTTGCATTTCAGCTAAGGCATGTAGATTGTCCCACCAATGCAGCAGTTTAAAATTGTAAATCATACGTAACCACGGTGTAGTCAGTGGTGCAGTTTTTATAAAATTTTCTATCTCCGATCGCGGCACCCATTGAATCTCGCTCACTTCATCAGGATTGGGATTTATGGTGATATTATCCCCTTGCAGAAATAATATGTAATCGATCTCGTGTTCACCCCAGCGATCATTACTGGGAAATTCATAGGTAATTCTTGTCAGATAAAATAGGTCAGAAGGTTTGATTTCGTTGCTAGGTATGCCCAGCTCGTAACCGAGCCTTCTTATCGCGGCTCGGCGTACGCCTATAGCATCTTCTTCTTCTATTTCGTTAGGAATCTCCGCTAAAGGATGACTGCAGCACGTATTTGTGTAATAATTTGGAAATGTTATCTGTAATATAAATTATATAAATTAGAGATGTATTAAGAATATTCGTAGAAAAAAAAACATAATTATTTTATTGAAAGAATTCAGTTTAATTAAAGATTGTCAATAAACAAGACTTTTACTTTGAATATCTTGGAATTTTTATATTTCGAATTTTTTTTTAGTTTTTAAATATTTAATCTTATTGGTTAAGCTGTAATCAAACTATAGATTAGAATTAAAATTCAATTGAAACTCGATAAATCATAGCAAAGTTCACTAAATTTGATATTAGTTTTCTTTTCGATTGACTAAATTTCAATGTAATCTCAAGCCTAATCCGTACATCATTAGAAAATTACGATAAATAAAACTCTGAATGTAATTTAAGTACAAAATGTCAGTTTCTAAATTTATACACATATCCTTCTCTTTTATTCCAAAACTGATAAAATTAAACAAATTGAATTTTTCAGAAAAAGGAAAAATTACACAGGCCCACAAAAAAACAAAAGTGGTCTGTACTTTTAACCAGACATACCAGTCTATATGTATTTTGACGAGCTGAATCTGAATCTGAAGTCCGTTGAACCCAAACACCCCCAACATTTCAAATTCGCCACAAATATAGTAAAACGCATCAGGACTCGTGTTACACTCGTGTGAGTTATTTCTTGTAGCATTATACTCTACAGAGGCCAAGTTACCCACCAATGTAGAGCTGCGGTCGCCTGATGACGACGGCTGCGGGCCCGCTTTCTCACCCTGACCAGCCGCCGATACTGGGGTTCCGAGTCCCTGCATCGTAAAGTACTGATTGCTCGTACCTGCCATGACGGCATCCACGCCGTTAACCCAGGGCTTTGCCACGTGTATCCGAAGCCCGCCGTCACCACGTGGAGGTGCCCTGGTTACAGGCACAAGCAATCACTGGAGATTTTGAAATCTCTTTACAGAGATTTTTCGCTACTTTTAGCGATTTACTCGAAATTTTAGGGGTGTTTGGGCTAGACGGACTTCAGATTCAGATTCAACTCGTCAAAATACATAAAGACTGGTATGTCTGGTTAAAAGTACAGACCACTTTTGTTTTTTTGTGGGCCTGTGTTATTTTTTCGTTGTGACGATTTTGATGTCCTACAAAATTATAATGTAAATCCAAATCATGAGTAACTCGAAAATGACATGACTCAAAATGTATGTACATCACTAACAGTTTATATTTATTTTCATCAGCTAAAATGATTAAATTCAAAATAAAATAATTTCTTCTTCAAACTTCTATCACCAAAATTATTTTAATTGTCTACCATCTAAACTATCTTAACTGTGTGTTTTAAATTGTTTTCTCCATGAAAAGATTCTTCTTATTATTTATAAAGATTACAATTCAAAATGTGTCACTTGTGTAGAAAATATCAGAATCTCTTAAAAACCGTTAGGAGCAACACAAATGCTATTTAATAGATTATGAAATTAACTTATAATATAATCTTTTTATCCAATTTATTTATGTAAATAAGTCGAAAATCATATTTCTTGAGTTGTATTACTTTCGAAGTAAGAAACATTTGCTATAACAAATTTCACCACCCTGGCGAAAATAGAAAGCTTCCTGAAACGTTGAAGAAGCGTAAATGACTCTTCGTTGACTTTTCGTGGAGAGTTAGTGACGCTCGCTTAACGCTTCCTGACGCTCCGATTTTTGAAACGTTTGAATACGCTTGCCACACGCTTCATTAACTCTCCTTTGAACATGTATGGAACGTTGCCTTACGCTCCTTCTACGCTGTAGCGATTAAAATTTTTTATTGCTTGCGTTTCTTATAGAACGCAATATGTCGTTTCGCGCACTTTTCACAAAGCGTGTGGGAAATGTAAACCGATTAGAAAAATGTTAATCTTTGGAGCGTAGAAGAAGCGTAACGCAACGTTTCGCGCACTTTTTATGAAGTGTTCGGGAAGTGTAAATCAAGAATAGAAAATGTGAACCTTTTGAATGTAAAAGAAGCGTAATGTTACGTTTCACCCACTTTTCATAAAGTATTCGAGAAGTATGGCCCATGAATAAAAAATGTCAATATTTGGAGCGTAGAAGTAGCGTAATTAAAACCGTCCGGAATAGGGTCAACTAACATTCAGTGTTCGTGGATCATGGAAATAGCACTTCCCGTACGATTGCATAGTTCAGCACCATGGATGTTGGTACATGATTGGATGGGTGATCGCTTAGAAAAATAAGGAATTAATCCTCAAGTGGAAGGTAATAACGTTACGTTGACGCTAGTATGACGTTACATTAACACCAGGGTAAGAGTACATGGAGAGTGATGAAGCGTCAATGAAGCGTCAGAATTCTATATCCTCAACGCTTGGTTAACGCTTTGTTACTTTCGGTGTACTCTTCCAGAGGAGTGAAATAACTCTTTGTTAACATTTAGTAAACACTTCCCTAACATTCTGGTGTTCCAATCTACGCTATTCAAAAAGTTTGATGACGCTTTCATAACGCTGTCTTTACGTTTCGTCTACGCTCCGATTTACGCTCCGATTACATTTGATTGACGCTATATTTTCGCCAGGGTAGAATCTGATTTTTACTTACACATGGTTAAAATATTCAAAATTATACTTTAAAATAACACTAAAGGAGAATGTGCCTCACCTTAACGCTTGATCGCTTCTGGAGTAATAATTCCTTTTTACTATTAAACAGAAAGACGCTGAATGCCCTATGGAGTGGTAAACATCCATTTGTATCAATTTCGTGACAAACTTGCTTGGTAGCTTCACCAATAACTCTATCTAATTTATCTACAAGTATGCAGCGCTCTTGTAAAGCAGCTTTCTGCAATTGTGATATTTGCACTGCTTCATAATCTTTTTTCACAAGCGTCATCATTTTGTGTACAACACTGTTGAAATTTCTCTAAGCTCCTCTGATCATCACTGACCAGTCGTCTGCCGACTGGGAAATATAAAAGAGCGCAATATGTATCTTGCATGCATCAAAAAATATTCCTATAAATATATTCATAAGAATGTAACCTTAAGGAGCAGAATTTTATGAAGCTGACAGCAGAATTTATAGGGTCGCTTGAATGAGAATTAATTGACACGAGGAACAAAGACATACCACGTGGTAAAACATGTCGAAAGAATCAGACTATATTGATGAGATGCCAAGATGAGTGTTGCCATCCAACTGTGTTACAAATATCGTCCGACTTCTCAGGAAAGTGTCCAATCGCGGACTGGCAATGAACGGGAGTTCTTTACAGTCTAAATTCTGGAATGTAATTGACTGTGAAAACTACCGTTTATCTCTCCTTCGTTCCTATAGAAGTGATACCGTTATCTCACCAACATTATTTCCCGATCAAGGTCGAGAATGTAACAAACAACTTACTTTTATTTATAATGATTTTAAATTATCATTACCTTTACATATATATATATATATATATATTTGTATTAATTATTATAGCTTTTAGATAATTTTCATTGTTTTTCTTATTTGATCTAGCAGCGCAAAGTGTTTTTACATAAAAAATTTTTCTTTTTAAATAAATTTTTTTTATTTTGTTTTTTCATTTTGTATTTAAATTAATTGTGATATAATTTTTTTAAAGAAGAATTAAATCACTTGGTTTCGAATAGGAAGATCTTTTAATAAGAATACAAAGGCATATACTTAGGTTTCATTGTATAAAGATAAAGATTGTACCACATGGGTTTTACTTTTTAATTTAGTAGAATTTAAATAATAGTACTATATGGGTTCTTAAAGATTAAAGGTAACACTTGTGTTTTACTTTTTAATTTGGTAGAATTTAACTTGGCCCCGACTGTTGATATCAAATCTTGTATACAAATGATAAATGTCATTAAAATTAAGTAAGTAATAAAAGGTAGAATAACTTGGTGCCAACTATTGATATCAAACCTTTTATACAAATGATACATGTCATTAGAATTAAATAAGTGTAAGGATAGTACCTCTTAGATCTTTAGAGATAGAGAATTTTTAAAGACTAGTTATAATTAAACGATATATTTTATGGGAAAAATCCATATTATATGACAAGATAGTGAAATAAAACGGAAAAAATGAGTAGTGGGGAAGGAAGGAGGAAGAGGAAGAGGAGGGAGGATGTGCAATGTATCGAAGTTAGTATAAATTGTATATTTATATAAATATTTTAATATTAGTATTAATATAAACAATATGTTCCTACAAAAAACTATTTAAAAATGAATGGCTAAGTACCGCAGTTATGTAATTAATTCTTTAAATTTAATTCTTTAAAGAATTAAACGTTCTTCATAACTTTCATTTCTATAAAATTAAATTATATAATACAGGTGTTTTTAGTAAAAAAGATGATTTTTATTTTAAATAAGATTTCAAAGCTTATGTTATGTTTCTTATTTCTAAAAATGATTTAAAGATTAAATGGTTAAGTTAAAAATAAAAATAAGAAAAAGGAGCATATACCACACGCTGGATCGAAGTAGCGAAAATCTAGTGTATTTAATAATATTAAAAATTACATAATTATAAACGTTTCGGTCCTTAATGTGACCATCTTCAGTATAAAACAAGATTCTTTAAAATGATTCCCCTAATCATTCCCCTAAGAATTAATCAACACTCTGACTAATAATAGTTATCCTCTTGATTTCTTATTCGCATCAATAAACAATAGAATCAAATCTTTTATACATAATCAAAATAGAGATATTAACATACACAATAATGATACTTATGAAAATAAAAAATTCTTCTGTGTTCCGTACCATAATAAAGTATCTAAAAAATTCAAAAGAATTTTTGGTGTTGACTCTGAGATTAAAATAGCTTACAAACCAATTAATAGTCTAAACCAAATCATTAAATTAGGCAAAAACAATAAATTGGATAAATTTGACAATACCAACGTAGTTTATAAGATTGACTGTCTTAATTGCGATTGCTCATATGTCAGTCAAACAAAAAGGAACTTAAAAACTAGAATTAAAGAACATAAAGCAGATTTTAAAAAACTACACAATAAATCAGTTGTTAGCAAGCATCAAATGGAATATAACCATACAATGGATTGGGATAATGTCCATATTTTAGATAATGAACCATCTTATATGAAAAGATCAATTTCCGAAATAATATTCATTAAGAAACAATTAAACGGTGTAAATTTACAAAGCGACACAGAAAAATTTTCAGATAATTATATAACAACACTTTTAAATCATCCCCACCATCCTACTGTGGATTCCCACTCCTAAATATATTTCCATGTTAAAAGTAAAGAGGTTACTTGTAACAACAAATTCAAGACATATTCTGATATTATCTCTCCGTAACGACTAACTTCATGTCCACACACATGGATTTCGCCGAAAAATTTCCTTGAAGACAGAGGTATTTATCATTTATCAAGTCAAATCTCATTATTCTTTTTTAATTAAAAGTCTGAGGGGGAAAAAAAAGGAAAATATTTATAATTTTTAGTTTGGAAACTTCTGTTCTCAAATCATGGTTGATTCCATTGCTTAAACAAAATCATTAGCAGAATTGTATGGACACGAAAAAATTAAAATTGTACATTATTAATATTCTTGATCAAACAAATTCTTTAACAGAATTGTAATGACACAAAGAAGTTAAAAAATTCTACATTGTTAACGTTTTAGATCATAATTGTTTGCGATTCACTTTTAAATTGACATCATTTTTGTATGCGAATTGATATTAGAATCGACATTGATATAACCGATGAACAACATATATATTGTATAATAATTGACAAGCATATTTAGATATTGCGTTCCATTACTTATTATTATTTAAAATACATTAGGGGAATCATTTTAAAGAATCTTGTTTTATACTGAAGATGGTCACATTTTAAGGACCGAAACATTTATAATTATGTAACTTTTAATATTATTAAATACACCAGATTTTTGCTACTTCGATCCAGCGTGTGGTATATGCTCCTTTTTCTTATTTTTAAACGTCATACCAGTCAGCAGTCGGGAATATTTAAAATAATTTTATTTACAATATATATTTCAAATATATTATATAGATATATATATGTATTATTTAATATGAGGTGAAGGGTAGAGCGGAAAGCGGATACACTTTACTTATGTTCACTTTATACTGGCAACTTTAATTAATAATCAGTTACTTTTCATGGTAATATGTATATTATTACAATTTAACTCGTGATAGTACTGCGATAGTTTTAACTATACGTCATATCGGTCAGTAGAATTTAAGATAATAATTTTATTTAATATGTATTTAAATGATGACTGCACGGTTTATCGGTGAGCCGGTTGAGGGGGGGACGTGCAACTCGCGTCCGCCCTTGCACATCAAAACAATCCCCAAGGCTGCTTTCGCAAAAACCATTTAATATTTTTTAATATTAACGCGTCAATTTTAGAACAACATATTTATTTTTTATTCGTTAACGCGATCGCATATTATAAAACAAAATTATTAAATAAATGTAAAACATTTACTTTTCGTGGTAGTATATTAATTATGCGCGGTGCGGTGTTGTAAGGGGGACAGCGAAAGCTAGAGGTAAATGATTCGAAAATCAACCGAAAGTTGCACTGTCCCCCTCACCTCACCGCTCCGCCTGCAGTCGAAATGCCCCATAGCAGTCGAATGGCATTGTCGTGCTCGCGGAGCGGTGAGATAAGGGGGACAGCGAAAGCTAGGCGAAGACGATTCGAAAATCAGCCGAAAGTTGCATTATCCCCCCCTCCGCTCCGCGTACAGTCGAAATGCCCCATGACAATCGAATTTATTGTATCCTACCTAACGTTAAATTAATTGTTATAAATATACTTGAAAAACGACGCACGCGCGTAAAGTTATAATGTTATTTATACATTCGCACACAAATTTATACAAGTCACTGCATAGTTAAAAACAGGAAGCATTCCATTTTATATTCAATATCTTTTTTCTTGAAAAAAAAACCATCAATTGAAAAAGATTTATTCTACATCTTTTATTTATTTTTTCGTCAAAGAAGTCGTCTCTTCATCGATTACAGTATTATTCACTGAGAGTCTGAAATACATCATAGGCACTTTTTGCTACTATAATAGATATTGCCGTCGACATTGACGCAACGAGTGACGTACTAAAATAATTAAGACGTCCAAATAATTGAGAACGCCTGGAATAAGCGACCAGTTAAATAAGCGCATACTTATATCTCCGCAGCTTTTAGAGTCGACAAAATAAAATAGTGGAGAAGTGTGTGCGTCGCTTAGTAAAAGCTATAAATGTAGTTCACGGTCTGGGCGCAATGTAGCGAATTGATCCCAGAATATAAAAAAATACGAAAATTAATTAATTAGGAAAATGCAGTAGAAATAAAAAATATTGAAAAGATAAAAGTGATGCAAATTTCAGTAACAAATTTATTTTTCTTACATACGTATATAATATTTAATAAAATATATATATGTATATTTTGCAAGGAAATACTCGAGTTACAATATTTAGATGCGAGGATTCATCTTTTCATAAAAATTTAAAAACAATTAATCAAAATTACATACATTTACCTGTTATATTTAGAAAAGTTAAAATTTTCCAGATACATAAATTTCACGATGTAAGAGTACATAAAATAAGAAGACACAGGTACAAGAATCCCATAAATTTAAATCCACAGATCTAAATCCAATTCCTCAATAATACAAATTATAGGAATCGTTATTTGAATTATTTCAGCAACTCATGTAACATGTACAATATACATTACACGAGTTTTACTTTGGTGATAAGAAGCTTGTTCGTTTTAACTAAACTTCTTGCATGATTTTTCTCAATTTTCCTCTTTCTCTCTTTACGTTGGAGAAAAAATGAATTTTGCACCGAAAAATTTAACTAAAAAAAAAAAAACATACATATGCTCTATACACGAATATAAATTAATCAGTTAACTCAATTACATTTTGGTGATCTTGCATTTCAGCTAAGGCATGTAGATTGTCCCACCAATGCAGCAGTTTAAAATTGTAAATCATACGGAACCACGGTGTAGTCAGTGGTGCAGTCTTCATAAAATTTTCTATCTCCGATCGCGACACCCATTGAATCTCGCTCACTTCATCAGGATTGGGATTTATGGTGATATCATCCCGTTGCAGAAATAATATGTAATCGATCTCGTGTTCACCCCAGCGATCATTACTGGGAGCTTGATAGTAAATTCTTGTCAGATAAAATAGGTCAGAAGGTTTAATTTCGTTGCTAGGTACGCCCAGCTCGTAACCGAGCCTTCTTATCGCGGCTCGGCGTACGCCTATAGCATCTTCTTCTTCTATTTCGTTAGGAATCTCCGCTAAAGGATGACTGCAGCACGTATTTGTGTAACAATTTGGAAATGTTACCTGTAATATAAATTATATAAATTAGAGATGTATTAAGAATATTTGTAGAAAAAAAAAACATAATTATTTTATTGGAAGAATCCAGTTTAATTAAAGATTGTCAATAAACAAGACTTTTACTTTGGATATCTTGCAATTTTTATATTTCGAATTTTTTTTTAGTTTTTAAATATTTTATCTTATTGGTTAAGCTGTAATCAAATTACAGAATTAAAATTCAATTAAAACTTGATAAATGAAAGCAAAGTTCATTAAATTTGATATTAGTTTTCTTTTTGATTGATTAAATTTCAATCTAATCTCAAGCCTAATCCGTAGATCATTAGAAAATTACGATAAATAAAACTCTGAATGTAATTTAAGTATACAATGTCAATTTCTAAATTTATACACATATCCTTCTCTTTTATTCCAAAACTGATAAAATTAAACAAATTGAATTTTGCAGAAAAAGAAAAAATTATTTTTTAGTTGTGATGATTTTGGTGTCCTACAAAATTATAATGTAAATTCAAGTCATGAGTAACTCAAAAGTGACATGACTTAAAATATATGTATATCACTAACAGTTTATATTTATTTTCATCAGCTAAAATGATTAAATTCAAAATAAAATAATTTTTTCTTCAAACTTCTATCACCAAAATTATTTTAACTGTCTATCATCTAAACTATCTTAACTGTGTGTTTTAAATTGTTTTCTCCATAAAAAGACTCTTCTTATTATTTACAAAGATGACAATTCAAAATGTGTCACTTGTGTAGAAAATATCAGAATCTTTTAAAAACCTTTAGGAGCAACACAACACAAATGCTATTTAATAAATTATGTAATTAACTTATAATATAATCTTTCTATCCAATTCATTTATGTAAATAACTCGAAAATCATATTTCTTGAGTTGTGTTACTTTCGAAGTAAGAAACATTTGCTATAACAAATTCCATCAGAATCTGATTTTTACTTATATGGTTAAAATATTCAAAATTATACTTTAAAATAACACTAAAGGAGAATGTGCCTTACCTTAACGCTTGATCGCTTCTGGAGTAATAATTCCTTTTTACTATTAAACAGAAAGACGCTGAATGCCCTATGGAGTGGTAAACATTTCTTTATATCAATTTCGTGACAAACTTGCTTGGTAGCTTCTCCAATAACTCTATCCAATTTATCTACAAGTATGCAGCGCTCTTGTAAAGCAGCTTTCTGCAATTGTGTTATTTGCACTGCTTCATAATCTTTTTCCACAAGCGTCATCATTTTGTGTACAATACTGTTGAAATTCCTGTAAGGTCCTCTGATCATCACTAACCAGTCGCCTGCCAAATAATGACTGAGAAATATAAAAGAGCGCAATATGTATCTTGTATGCATCAAAAAATATTCCTATAAATATATTCATAAGAATGTAATCTTAAGGAGCAGAATTTTATGAAGCCGACAGCAGAATTTATAGAGCCGCTTGAATGATAATAATTAATTGACACGAGGAACAAGGACATACCACGTGGTAAAACGTGTCGAAAGAATCAGACTATATTAATGAGATGCCAAGATGAGTATTTCTATCCAACTGTGTTACGAATATCGTCCGACTTCTCAGGAAAGCGTCTAATCGCGGACTGGCAATGAACGGGAGTTCTTTGCAGTCTAGATTCTGGAATGTAATTGACTGTGAAAACTACCGTTTATCTCTCCTTTGTTCCTATAGAAGTGATACCGTTATCTCACCAACATTATTTCCCAATCAAGGTCGAGAATGCAACAAACAACTTACTTGTAATGATAGCATTACATAAATCACCTAAGCGTAATTTGCATGAACGTACCCGAAATTCCCAAGTGCCCAACACCAAATCTAGGACACTAATCACGTAATTTGGAGCGTGACAATTCTTCGCATTGCTTCGCATTTCGCGTGAACTTGTTCACAAAACCATTACTCAGACAGCAAAAAGTGAAAAAAGAAGAGAAAATAGAGGTTAAATAAATTTGCAGATACTTGCAAATATTCAATTCACAAATATATTATAATGCTAAGTGAAGCACAGACAACCACAGCTGATTGCTGAGTATATACTACACACTACACAGCTGTATGTATGTACATACATACTAGACACTAGCAACCATGAAGGAAGATATAAGGAGACTCCACTCGGTCTCGCCAGTCTACAAGACATGAACCCATTTTAGGTTTCGAGTTCCGTTTCCGATTCTCGACACTCGCAGCGCTCGTGAATTTAGTAGTGCTGCGCATAATGATCATTTCTCTTACTCGCACTCATTATGCGCAGCACTACTAAATTCACGAGCGCTGCGAGTGTCGAGAATCGGATGAGTGCGAGTAAGAGAAACGATCATTTCTCTTACTCGCACTCATCAGAATCGGAAGCTGAACTCGAAACCTAAAATGGGTCCACTTTTATTTTACGGAGTGGAGTCTCCTTATATCTTCCTGCTAGCAACTGTGACACTAGATATGTTCTTCTATTTTCTTCCGCGCAAATTCGTAGTCTAATTACTTATTGCGAGGGCGCTAATGCGTTTTTCTAAGTTGCGCTAATTCCCGCGGTAATCTCCAATCGACTTCAATCGACTTATCTATCAATTCGAGTCAGATGGTTAATAGGTTATGTTGAGATAATAGACGTTTATGAAACAAACTCTTGTATCTACATTTTAAAATAAATGTATTAATAAATATGCTTAAATTTCCGAGATTATTAGTGAATCATGTGAAAGCGTTGGCGACACCCACATCGTCCAGTAATACAGATTGTTTGTCACAACAAACACGGGTAATTGCTTTTATTATTACATATATAAGCCATTACCATGTGGTTCTTTCTAGTACATAAATATGCAATAATCTTTTTATTTTTGTTTAACATTTGCAAACAACAAAACTATAATAATTACTGTGATACACTGTCATCTGCTTTCCATTTGATAATAAAAAATTTATTTTGTCACTGAATGTCTGAGGAAAAATAAAATAATGCTTGACTTCTGTCAATAAATATAAAACATTCCGTGTTTTTTTACTAGAAAGCACCCTTGGTGAATTTATACTACTGAATTATTACACATTAAAAAAGCTGCACTATATAAAGTATCTAAATGCAGTAATAATATAATTGACTTTGGCAATAAAATAATACATGTATGTTAGTCGATTTATTTATATAATGTTCTTGTTTTAATTAATTTTATGTATATTCATTATAATGTCATATTGTGGCCAAATTTTCTAATTGTGTACACATATTCTGTATGTATTTTGTATTTCTTGAGACAGCTTAATAGATTCCTACACATATAAATTATTAAACTGTACTCGTACTTATTCTTGTTTAATTTTTTACAGAACACTTTTATTCTCAAAAGAAGGCATCCGGTACCTCTATACAAAAAGAATAGCAAACCTCAACGCCTGAAAACAAGGCATTTCATTTACGATCTTGTTGAGGATACTAATTGGAGGAGGAAAGAATTCCTCGATTTGATTCTGACGCAATATGTGGCAGGAATCGGCAATATAGGCACTCGAGTGTCGCTACATCCAATGGTAGCTTACCCAAAGCTTTTACTGCCAAAACTAGCGGACTATGCTACCCCCGAGAACATTGAGAAATATACGAAATTAGCGTTAGACCAGGGGGAGGATAAGCCATTTAGTTCTGGCTCGGTAGAGAAAATGATGAAGTATCTGTCGAAGAAGCGGATATCCATTATGATGTCGAAGGACGTACCTTGGACGTTGGAAAAGTGGCATATTAAAGTAAATTTCCGCAAAGCTGGTATTTACCTGCCAGAAGATACTATAACAATACCTGAGAAATCAATATCCGGGCCAAACCTGGATATAGAAGGAAAGGAATTTTATGTGACTATCACGATTAATAATCGAGAGCAGGTGAAGGTAAGGTGCTGTCTTCGTCATTGGACATCGGACAGTTCCTCGCAAATTCAAGTCGACCACTCCTTGCCGGCCGAGCCAATATTTCCCGAGGACAAGCCGATTTTAGATTCTCTTCCCTCTTTCTACAAGGAAAGGAAGAAAAACATTTAATTTCTGATATATTGTATTATAATATAAATAAATAACGCTTAATAAGAGTGATAAGAGTAATAGGTTTTCTTAGAAACTCCTAACTCTTGGATGTTTATTTTAGGCTTGTTTTTTTTTTAATTAAAGCTGCACAGTTTATCTTTCCTTTTTTTATAGAATGGAGAAAAAGAGAAAAGATGAACTATGTAAGAAGTTTAGTTACAAAAAATGGATCTCTAGAACTCTTTACATAATTATGATCATCATTATAATATTGTTTCAACGTGATAGTTGTACTCCTTTCATGCAGTTTGGTCAGAAACTTCCAATAATATTTCTAATTATGTACTATTCTTTTGAAAGTCTAGTATGCTTTATACATATATATATGTGTGTGTAGAACTATATCTTCCTAGAATCAATAATTTGACTCTGCTATACCTTCATTGTGATTAGGAGTGTGTCTATTTCTAGAAACTGATAACCTGAAAATCTGCTATGAATAAAATCGTAAAATAATATGATATAATAATTCAACATGGGTGAGAGATACTTTGCATGGGATGAAATTTCAGAAGGATTAATTCTATTTAGGTAATTTTAGTAACTTTGAATTTTTCCATTCTACATTTTATATTCAGCCATTATCTACGTTTTTTTTGTCAAACACATTTTTTATGTTGTAAACTTTATTTAAAATATGTGTACGGTATAATTTAATATTCTATGATAGTAGATAATAGAGAAAGGGGTCAACACAATTACTTTTATCATTATAAGTGTTGTTTGTTCTAAATGTTAATGCTCAAGCATTAACATTTAAAACAGATATACACTTCTTCACTGATAAAAATAATTTAACTGCAGTTAAAATAAAGCTTCTGTGAACATCGCGTATAAAAAAAATGTATTAAGCAAAATAAAAATGCATTTTTTTGTTTTAATTTAACTGTTTGGAAACTGCTAGAGATTAATTAATACTATCTTAGTAAAGAATTTTTAACAAGGAAACTTCACCGATTTTAATGAGCTTTGGATATATAGTTATATAGAGCATAAAAAAATATTAAATTTATATATCTTTTTTTGTACTTATTTTGAGGTTTAAGGGGTGAAATACTCCATCGAAAAAAATTATTTTTTTTTCTTTTGAAGCGAATATCGTCAAAACTATAAAAACTAGAAACATTGACGAAGTATATATGACTCTTAATTTCAAAAATACAATTGTGTTATATAAAAGGATATGTAACAGTTAGAGAAATAAACAAGTAACGCTTTAACACAATCAAATTCATATAATAAGAAACCATAATAAAATTATAAAATCTACTCTAGCAAATCAATAAAATTTACATACATTATACTATATGTTTCGGCTGTATGATTTAGCCCTCTTCAAATGTACAACTAAAATTATATTTATAAAAAATAGAAAAATTTTTCCAAAATGAAAATTGAATAGTTTCAAGAGTACTTTAAAACTATAGTAAAATTTTTTTATAAATAAATATTTATTATAAATAATTAAAACAATTGTTTAGTTATAAAGAGTTCTAAAGTACTCTTGAAGTCATTCAATTTTCTTTCTGAAAATTTTTTTCTATTTTTTCTATTTTTATAGTTTCGATGATATTCGCTTTGAAAGAAAAAAATCAATTTCTTCTAGAGAGTGTTTTATCCCCTAAATCTTGAGATAAATACAAAAGAAAAGATATAAGTTCAGTGGCATAGTGAGAAAAATGTTTCGGGAGGGGCTGTATAGATATCAATTTTTTAAAATGTTTTTTATACTACTTTTTTTTATACTTTTATAGTGACACGTTTGGTAAGCATAAACAAAAAAAGTTTCGTTTAAAACGAAATAATACAATACATAATGCATCATTTATAATACATAATTTATATACATGTCGTTGCAATGTCGCAACGTTTTGCTAACGCATGAATATAAATTGTTATAATTTTTTATTATTAACTTTCCAGAAAAAATTTTTTTAATATTCAACTGCAATGTAGTATCTATTAATGAAAATGTTTAATTCGAAAATTTGTAATAACTTTAACGTTTGAAAAAAAATTCACTAAATTCGATAAAATATTAAAAATCCGCCATTTTGTTGTAAAGTGCTTCGAAAATTTCAGAATCGCTCTACAAGATGTAAAATATATGTCAAAGATTATAGTGTAAAAATTTAAATAATATAAATATTAATATCCGGCTGAGATTTCACGAGTCGAAGTGCTGCCGTTCTCTCAACGCCACTTTTTATTAGCAGCAATCTTTTTTTCCGTGTAGTTTATCGAATTTTTGTTTACATGCATAATAAAAAATTTTTTGCAATTATAAATTAAATATGAGAACTATTCCAACAGGATTTAATTTCCTCTCTCAAAACAAATTGATATTTACGGCTCAACAATTTTTGCACATTCTTATGAAATTATTGAAATTATTCAGAATTTGTAGTCCCCACAGCCGGGGGGGGGGGCTCCTTGGTTACGCCACTGTATAGGTTTAATACTTCATGCTCTACAGTTCTACACATATCATATCCATATTAAAATCAGTAAGGATCAGTTTCCTTTGTAAAATTTCTTATTTTATATTTCCTGAAAAAGAAAGAAAGATTACTTATAAAATCTTTCAGACCTTATATTTTATTAGAATTATAGAACGAGAAATTCTTTAAATTTTAGAATATTTCCGAATTTGATTCTGAAAAATGCAATTTATATTTAAAAAATCCAATTGTTCCGATTTGTTTAAAGAATTATGAAATTATTTAGAAATTCGAAAATTTATATATAAAAATTTCACTACGGAAAAAAAAGATTTCGTGAATCCCCTTTTATTGCGTAAATTCCTATTTCATTGATCAGTGTGGCAAAGACAGAAGATGAACAAGCCAAGCGACGAAGGAAACGCACTGCTGCTGTCCCTATATCGGAAATTTATTCTCCACACGCGTATTTGATTTTATGTTATCGGGAAACATTGAATGACAACGAAAAGGTGAGGATCGAACTGTAACTATAAATTCTTCGCCAATTCGATATCAAGAGGAGTGTCTCATACTATTCCAATTGTAGATCAGGTTCCGAAAGAATTATCTGAGAAAAGTGACGCCGGATGAACCAGACATCATTATCCTGCAGGACATTAAGGACCTCGTGCTCTTCCTTCTCGTGACCTCCGTCAGCCCGCAGTTCATAAACTTCTTCCACTTGCCGGCCGTGGACCGATTTTTGAGAGCACTCATCATCTACTTCCAACGCTTCGTACAGATATGGGAGGACCTGGGACGTGAACGAGCGGCCACCATGAGGAAGGCACCTAATCCACTGGCGCGTGGACATAGATCTCAATATGCCGATGAAATGCATACTCTACGTTGTGTCCTAGGCAGGGAGTACGTGGACTTGCTACTGGGTTGCCGGGATGGGCCTCGCTACCACCATATGATAACCAACTCGAAGCGCACGGCTACGCAATCGCAGGGCGAGAAAGACCTGCGGATCTACGAGGGATTGATAAGTGTGGCTCACAGGGTCGTATGGATAGCATTACAGCGGAAACATTTTACTCTGATCGGTACGACGAAGAGCATATAATAATATTCTAAATAAACATTGTATGTTATTCTATGATGAAATACAAATACACTATATACACATATCGTATATCACTGTATAGATATTGATGCGTGATAAATATTTTACTATAAATATTGTATATCATCGTAAAATAATGCTTAATGTAAGATTCAAAGCACTGTACGCTGAATTCATATTATATATGATTTACGATATTCCTGTGGTATTTGAAAATTGATTATCGCGAATCCCTTATTATTGTCTCGCAGAGCTAGAACTGCAGAGACTGCTTCGAACCGAGGCGTACAATACCGCGCAAAGACAAAGCGGCAGTCGACTTATTCAGGATATGCTGGAGGATGATATTCGTATACTACATGGTCCCAAAACAATACTGAAAACTCGAAAATTGCTCAGAAACTCCCCCATGCCTCATGAGCTGATGTACAGGGATTGCGACTATCGTCTTCTATCGTTAGGTGATATTTATATATATATATATATATACTTTTTATTAAAAAGTATATTTGTATTCAGAGTGTAATTTATAAAAATAGTATACCTGAAGGTATTTAAAGTATCAAGATTTAGAAAAAATATATATGTATATATTCGCGCAGTGACTTTGACCAAACTCCGAATAACTAATCGGCAATTAATTCAACAGACAGTTATAAAATTAATACATGGTGAGAATTTCACAAAAAATTAAATCAGAAATAATTAATTATATAAATAAGATCAAAATGTTATATTCGCCAATAATTGTATTCCTAGAATTTATCTATATTAATACATAAATATTGTTTTAATTATAATAATATAATTCTATTCACAAAAGTGACGAGAGATAATTATTATAATATTTTGTTATTTACATATAAAAAAATTAAATTAGAAACAATGAATTATATTCACGTTGACAAGATAGTACAAATGATAAGTTAATCTAAGTTTAGTCGTAGTCAGTTTATCACTAAACCGATATTTGCACAAAGAATAGCAGGGCACTTATCATGAATCGGAATGAATTCCGATCGGAATTATTCAATTATTCCCTAGATTTCTATTGCGTTTTCTAGGAAAAATGGAATAATTGCGATCGAAATGCATTTAGACACGTTCCACAAAACGACATGTTCAACGAAAAATATTATATTAGTCGTATTTTTATTTAAAAAGACGTAGTAGATATCGACATACACCATCCAAAAATCGCTTATCTGAGGAATGCTCTTCTCGTCGACGAAGAAAAGCTATTTCAGTTGGGGATCAAAGTGGGCATTTTGGGTCACAATCGCTCGGATTATGATATAATGTTAATGCCACACGAACCAGAGGAACCTACAGAAGAGCCAACAGAAACTGATTTGCTCGACAAAAGATCGATGGAGACGCGAAAGAGTATCTTTGTAACTAAAATCTCGGTAAGTGTTCGGTCGTTCTTATTTTTACACAGAAATACTTACAAATCTTAACTGAATACACGGAAAGACCGAATATCTGAAATATTTCTATTTCATGGTACAAAGGAACAAGAAGAGCTCGAAATCCTGCCTGAATTAAGGGAAGAGTTGTCAGTAAAAGAAATTCAGAAAATAAACGAGAAATATGATAAGATTCGCGAAAAAGCTCGGATAAAATGGATTCTTCGAGAGATAAGACGACGTGAACGCAAAGCGACTGATTCTTACTCTATAGCGACAACTTTAGACTGAATGTACAGAATAGAATAGAATTCTTACGTATCTATTATATTACGACACGAGAATTTCACAAAAAAATTAAAATGGTATTTATATATTAATAGATATAAATTCTAGAATATCGACAATTTAAGAATATAATATTTATGAGTCTTATTTATCAATATAAAAATAAAATACACAAGTCCAGTCGTTTTGTCAAGCCGACATTATCGTTAGGATACGAATGACAAGGGTGAATATAAACTGAACGCTGTAACGCAATGTAAAAAATATGCTTATTATAATTGGTGATACCTAATCGGAGTAATAATGCTGATATTTTACAAGAAAAGATACACATATAGATACATTTTCAAGCAATGCGTTACGATTAAATTCGGCATTGTCCTGTCCATAAATAATTACTATACCTAATTGCTATCGCTATATGCGTAGTAACAATACATACGACGTTAATTTAACCCCCAATGTGGGCCGACTTGCAAATTATTCCGTTTTCGTTTACATCTACGTGCGATCAAACTCGCCGTTTGCGCTTCTTGTAATCGCTCGTATTCAGCTAAACGTTCGTTACTTAGTAGTGTGCACTTTGCACCAGTGCGACCCGTTTTTCTTGAAATGACACGCATTATGTAGCAACATAAAAAAAAAAAAAGATAAAAAATGTCTCAACATTTGGCACAGCAATTTTGATAATAGAAACCAGATTGTATTTTATATCTGCCCGTCTTGCGCACACGTAATGAATAACATTTTTAATGTTTTGCTTTATCTGTAGTTAATTACGTAATGTATTACATTTTCCCGTTTTGTGAAATTATTACGATATGTATTGAGAATACGATAATCCATAATATATCTGTGTATCGCATTCGTTTTATACTACTTTTATTACAATCAACAATGGAATTATAACAATGTTTTGTTGTGCACGTACTTTAGGAATTAAATGGCAGTAAGCAACTCAACCATTCACATGCTATCATACCGCGATTTAATTTTATTTCCAATCTGTGCCTTTATTTACTTTTCATTAAAAAAAAAAAGACAAGAAAAAAATTCTCTTCTCAAATAATCATTAAAGTATTCTCTTGAAAAAATACGCGCGATAATAAAAAGTTTCCTTTACTTATTACACAGCGTGTCATCTTTTCATTTGTAAGGCTGCAAAGTGTGTTGCACATTCGGTAACAATGTTAAAAAATGAAAACTTTCGGCACTTCTTGCTAATGTTTACTTCACTTAGATATTACAGCTACTCTATCGCTGAACATTTGTCTACATGAATATAATACAGAATGGACAAAGTGACAATATTGATTATCCACATATATTAATAATATAACGTTAATAAATGTGATTATTTAATTGTGTTATTGCAGTAATCAGACGATGGAAAAAAAATGTGATTATATACACTACATACGTATTACATATATTTATGTAGACATATGTATATTTCTTTTTCTTTATAAATTCAGTCGTATGTTTGTATAAACATATTCTATATGCACAAGGTTTTATAATGAAAATTAAATTGTGGAAAAATGTAGTTTATTTAAATAAAATTCAGATGATATATTTTTAAAGGATGATACTGCATAAAATGTATATCCCAGATTTATCTTTTTTTTTCTATATATTACCGCCGTTGAAAAAATAATGTAAATACCATTTTTACACTCTGCAAATTAATGAATAATTTTACTGCCACAATTTGCTCTAATATAATAATACATGTATGTGTATGTATATATTTATACATATATGTATGAAATATATACACACAGTTGTGTACAAACACCAAATATTTTTTTCAAATATTATATCATTTGATTCCAATTATTCTATACTTTAAAATTTGTGGAGCTAAACTCCACTTTGCAAATCAGAATACGTTTCTCACAGTTGCTACAGTATAATCGATAACAGATAAAATCATTACAAATCAGTCATAAAAATACCTTTGTACCTATTATTTGAGTAATCAGTAATTAGCTAGACATTACGTGTAGTTCAATAAATATAGGAGCTATATATTAGTAAACATAATTTAGATAATTCCTGCTGTTTGTCTCAATAAAAATAAGCCGTATATAAAAATGAAAACTATGCATCTCGTTTAGCTCGCGTATATTGGAATCTAGTTTGTTTGAACCATTAATGTGAACTCTGAGCCCACTTTCGTCCCCTCTACTTATACATTTCATTATCTCTTGAAATGATTGCATGTGTTGCAGCTATAACAATTTTTCTAAGCAAATTTGTCAAGTGCAAGTCAAAATATCTGCAAATAAGCTACAAATATGTTGCATGTATTGCAAATGTAATAATAATGCAGAATGTCCGTGATTATTTGTCAAAAAGGATGGAATTCTCGATTTTTACACTGCTACTTGTTTAACATAAACCTACCTGTGTTGTACCCGATGCTGTTTATACTAAATTTATAAATTTGCTATTGTGTGTTTTTTTTTTAATTTTTTTGTTACTTTCTGTATGTCAATCCCTGCCATTATCTCGGACTTGCGTGGCTACGTGATAACAGTCTATAACGCAATCTTACGTTTAGCAGCACATACACAAACAGTATTTCTTTCTACATTACAAGGAACACGCACGAATTCCTTTCCGAAAAATTATTACATTAGGATTGGTGGGGCTACGAGGCAATGTCCGACATAAGCTGGGCAAGCAAGGCCGGCTCTAAAAGTCCATGCGTCTGCCCCATCCTCTCCAAGTTTCGTACGTCTTTATCAACTTCTTCCAAAGCCCGTTGCAATTCCTCCTCTTCTTCTCTCGACGGCTCATAATCCCCGTTTCTACCCTCTATAAAATAAAATTAAAATACATCTTATATTATCTTGTGAATTAAATATAACAACGAGTTGTACGCAATCTCGAGATTTACAAAATGCACCAAAGATATGGATGTTGCAATTACCGATAAATAAGTCGTTAAAAGCATCCGGGGGCAAGTTGTTGAGCACATTGCCAAAGTCATGCTCGGCAGAATCCAAGGAAGCGAAAACTTCATTATCCCCAAGCTCGACTTTGAGTCCTCCGCTCAGACCAAGAGAGCCTAATCCCAATCCTAGATTTAAGTTAGATGTATTTGAACTTCCTTGTGGAATATTCAAATTGTTCAACATCTTGGTATGGTTTTCACTACAGTTTATTTGGCTCATGAAATGACTCTCCTCGGGCATCAGTGCCACACTCTTGGGAGTCTCTATTTTATTAGAGGGCGGTCGTTTACGTTTCTTCGGTTTGGACTTGGGTTTAGGCTTTGCAGGGATAGGAGGAGAGACTGGAGGCTTTTTACGAGCTTTCTTTGGTTTGGATTCTTGAATTTTACGGTGATAATTGTCTCTCTTCCTCGCGTGTTCTGGGCAAAGAGGTAATTCGTGCGCGACATCAAACACAGGAACACAACACTGTGTGTTGTCACTAAATTTGGCAGTGCAATGTTCAAACAAAAGCTGATCTCCGTTCAACATAATGTGGCGGGAACAATGCCGGGTACAAGGCAAAGACGTCTGTTGGCATCCCTCCGCCCCACATGGCCCGCCAACTAATAGTGGTCCGTTAAGTACCTTGCTGGTACTTGGAGAGTCACTCAAAGCTCGCGCGGTAGAAGCAGGATCTTTGGACGCGGCATTCAGCAAATATCTGACCCTGTGCCGCAGAACAGCTTCAGCATCGGCACCATCGATACGCAACTGAAGCAATTGTCGTTGTAACTGCGAACGCAGTTGGGTCAGCCGAGCCGCTCGATTTAGTGATGCAGTAGATTCGCTGTAAAACCAATGACGCTGATGTATCACCGTTTCGTCTCCGCTTGAATCGCTGTCAGATATCTCGTCCCCGGCCCTCGGATAGTACAACAACGTGTGGTCCCGACTTGGCCTTCTGGGTCGCAATCTCTGCAAATTCTCAATGTGTCGTTGCTTATACTGAACTAAATTAGAAAACTTGTGATCCAAGTTCACCCCCATGCCGTCGTCAAAGTTTGTCTCTGGCGTGGCATTGATCCCGACAATCTTGTAGCCTGCAGCTGGAACAGGCGCTATCCTTATCCTCTGCTTCAAGCATTTCCCCTTCGACTTGCTGTTCTTGCAACTTTGCATCACTTCGGAATTTGTCGGTGGAACCATCGTGGCATGTCTTCCCGCTGCCGTGGCAAATGGTTCCGGTTCACTGAAAATGTACGGATCAACATCTTGATGTGCCTCGGTTTTCAGCAAAGCCTTCAAGCGATCCGAAAATTTCAATTTATTGTCCATGTTTGAGTTTTCGGAAATTGGGACCTTCATTGATTGCTGCTTCTGTCCAGATCTGTTCCACCTGCATTCTCAAATCCTCCAAATCAACTTTCTTCCTATCTAGATCAAACTTAGTTCACGCTATGTGCCAAGACCCAAGTACAATCTATACCATTTGATTAGAAAAGTATAATACTGAGACTGTACATAGAAAAATTATTTAAATATGTTTCATATCATATCACAGATATTTTCTATTGCCAAGTTAAGCAAGTAAAAAAAAAAGATTCAAGCGTATTCGCATAAACAGTATTATTCTATACTGTACACAATATAAGCTATATGATATAACAGTTACATTTGAGTATATCGATGTATAATACACTAATATATCCTCCTCTAAATGTACACAGTCATGGAATTTGCATTAATTGAATTAACAAAAGACTTACAAAACAATCGTGTCCATTCAACGCTTTTGTTGGTCTACGTAGTACAGAATTAATACTCAAATCGCATTGTCAACATCGTTTAACGTTAACTAACGAATTGCGGTCTATGAATATCGAGTTTCCTGGTTCGAGCAGTAAGCGTGAACTTAGTTCATTGCTAGATGAGGACAAAAACGATCCTTGCCTCGCATAGTAGTCTACACCAAGTGTGCCCTACACATGTCTGAGCAACTGCGTCGTCGTCGTCGTTGTCATCGTCGCACATCGAGCGGACGTCAGGTCGATCTGCAGCACTGCCAGGATGGCGCGCTTCGAGGATATCGCGGATGAGAGCGTGGCCATATCACCGGAGGACGATCTCCTCGCCGTTGGCATAGGTACGCGACACTCCGACGGTCAGGATTTTCCTTCTTTCCCCTCCTTTTTAGGTTAGGTTCCCTCACGTCACGTCACGTCGAAGCGGCGGGATACCAGCGTGTTCCCGGATTTCAGCGAGGTAACCGGAAATACTCCCGGGACAGACCTCGCGGCATACTCGACCTCGAGGTCGCTCGCGGACGCAGGCTCTATACCTGCTCACCAGCTCTCGTTCACAACGTTCAGAAATTCGACTTCGAGGGGGAGGAGGAGAAGGGTTGAGGTTGGAACGACACTGACCAGCGATCGCTCTTAACAAAGGACGACGAGGACGGACGTCCCGTCGGAAATGTGCCACGACACCGAGCTTCCCTGTCCCTCGTGCGCGGACTCGCTCACCACTGGTGGCACAAACAATGCGATCTCACGCGCAAAATTTCAACGTCTGTCGATAATAACATTAGAAAGACATGTCAGGCGTGCGGGGGCAGCAAAATGGCGGCCGCTAAGCGGCACGGTACATCACGAGCCAGTCCCCGAAGTTCGGGCGAAAAATCCCTGAATCTTCGAGCGACAATCGTCACGGATTCGACGATTATCCGAGTACACTTGAATTAATTGTAATTAACGATACCATAGACGGGACGAATAACGAGCGGATACTCCGCGCCACGTGGCGAAAAGGTCGTTCCGCACTCTGTAGAACATAACCTGTACGCCGAGGTGCGCGGACGATAAATTTCTCCTTTTCAGAGACTTCTGGAGACTCTGTGAATTATTATTTCAATGTAAATTCCGCCTCGAGCGTTCTAAAAAAAAATGCAAGGCACAAAAAAATCGGTACGAGCCGATGAGTCGGCTACCTTCCTTGTCCAACTTTATTCAGAAGCAAACTCCAAGATTTCCCCTATTTTCGTTCGAATGATTCAAAATCTAACTGCAAACTGCGAAATAGTGCGAAAATGATTCGTCCAACTATGTCAACATTGTTTCATGCCTGAGGACCATGTGCGAATTTATATTTGTTCTTAACTGAACTTTTTGTACTTCTTTTTTTCTTTATCTCACTAATGTATGTATGTTTGATTACGTGTGTTTCGTTGTTTTGCAATGGAATTTTTTTATCTCCCTTTTCCCCCCTTCGTGTCTCGTTATGCATACCTACCTATTTTTTCTATTTTAATTTTATCTCATTTGAACTGATTATCGAGAAAAAATAGTAACTAAACAATGGATTTAATATTTAAACATCAACCGTGTGATTCGTGTTCAAATACGATAGTCATCGCGTATAATCGTTGTATTTTCGATGTCTCTAGTTATATGTATGTATACATATATGATCTCATCACGTACATACGACGTGTTTCTTAAAAATTTTTCTCAGATTTTTCATATAATTAAAAATTTTTTTTAAATAATTTTATAAATTAAAAAAATTTTTTAGTTTTTTTCATACGAATTAAACCATTTTTTAGAAGTGCCGAAAAAGTTTCTACATATTTTTTTCTAGAATTCTTTATATATATGTAAAATTCAAAACATTCTAAAATTTTTGATAAAATCTTAGAAAATTTAGGAATATAATTTTTTCAGAATAAAAAATTTTAGAAACCTTAGACATTTTAGAATTATATATATGAAAAATTCTAAGATGTAGACTTTTTCTGAATTTCTGAAAAATGTTTCTATTTGTACAAAAATTAAAAAAATTTTTAATACAGATTTGCTTGAACAATACAAAGTCTAAAATCATGACATAACATGTTTCTGTGGGAGACGTCTAAAAGACATATCTCGATTTTACATTTTGTTATCTAAAATCGATTCTCAGCAATAATACGATGAAATCAATGAAAAAAAGTTTAGAACATTTTAAGTAAAAATATTTGTTAAAAATGATCACATAAGGCATTTAATTTTATAAGAAACAATTTTTTGTCCGTACTCAACTCTTCTGATGCAACTGTTGATCATTTTCAATTGTTATGCGGTCGATAAGGTTTAATTGTAGCAATTTATATAAAAAGTACAGAGTTCTATTATCAGTTTCAACAAAGTAGTTCATAGATCCGTCGCGAAGATTAAATTATCTGGGATTCATAATTTATTAACCGTTTTGTAAAATGAATAAATCATTTCTCCCTTGCAAAATGAATATAAAACTGTCAAGACGGTTGAAAATAAAGTTTGATAAATCGCAACTATAGAAAATAAATTTAAATAATAAATGTTATCTACCTATTGATATACGTAGATCGATAATATTCGAGCTTTTATATCGCTGCAAACTGAAAATTTTTAAATCCGAAAAATTACAAGTGTTAATAAATGATATTTTCATAAACATGTTTGCAATTATATCATATATAAAATAATAATTTATTATATCATTTATGTATTACTTAGTTATCAAAATTTATAGAAGTTATAGATAGAAAAAAAAATGCTGAAACATGTAATGCTCTTTTGTAACATATTCAGAATTCCTTTATATTAACAAAAAAAAAAAAGTTGTACGCGTAATTTTTATATTTAATAATTGTTGAAGATTTCTCTCATTAGAAATAAAAATTAAGTTGGACTAGCGTTCAAATGCGTATTTGATAAATAACAACACTGTGTTATTACAAATGTTTATCTTTCAACAAGGTGCTATACAACAAACTGTGTACACATGACACACACTCAATCATTTCACATTCCGGCTGAAAATCGGAAGAAGTTCGCTTATTTCGATAAACTTCACCCGATGCAATACCGTGTAATATATTAATAAACGTATTATGTAACATAAACGTGTGTGTACACTAACTAGGATGTCTTACGAGCTTCAATTTACACGAGACCTTCATACAATTGCTGATCGATAACAAATAAGTCAGTTTTAAGTTATTTTACATCATTAAATGCACAATTGGCTCATAAAAAATGATTAAATATGGAATTTAATTCCTTTAGAATGCAGGAAACAGACTGAATTTGTGAATTTCTCTAATATACTCATATAAATATATCGATCCAATTATATCAGATTACGATATGATCTAGTAAATTGAAAAAATGTTACATTAACAAATGATGTAATTATGTAATAAATGATTTTTCAATACAAAGAATAACAAATGAAGGACGAATAACAACGCAACATGCGTGTGAGCCAGACATTACGAGAAAAGATTTTTAAAAACAATATTTCATGAAACTACTAATCTGTCAATCTGCTCTGGAGAATGATGAAAACTTTTTTTTGGAATATTCTACTCTTCAAATCGATTGATCTGTTCTGACATTAAATTCTTAATTCGAGGTATAGTGGTAGACCCAAGGGACGGTAATTCTTTTATTACAAAAGTTGTATTTGCGAACTGTTTATGAAATAGTCAGCGAATCTTCGTTACGTCGTTCGTCGTTGAGGTCTCTGTCCTTTAATAACAACTGGCCGGCCTTTTATGACACCTCGTTTACGTCGTGAAGTCTGAAACATCAATGCCCGAGGCCCCATAACTTCAACTACGTTTCCAGATCAATTAATACGTCACGATAAAAACGGCAAAACGATACGAAAAATTGCATGATTAACAAGAAAAAAAAGATATATATCATTCTGTATCGTAAGACCGTAAATATATACATGCATACCAACCTTTTTAGTAACATATGAATTCGCGCGACGTGTGATTACTCGCTCGGAAATTGGAATTATTGGTCTATTAAACTCCACTGGTTTCTTCACCCTAGAGACACATTTCAAAATTAATACTAATATATGTAGTATTTTATAACAATAATGAGAGGATAATGATACATTAAATTTTAAGTGAAAGCTGAAACGTGTCAGTTACCTGTAAATCCTGACAAGCCAATGCTCAGTAGTGTAAGCTTCTTCCAGATACGTCAACTGGAAATTTTTATTGCCTATTTCTGCATTACGAGTACGATCATATCCGTAAGGCGATCGATAGTCTATTTTAATGTCTCCAAACCGATAATAACTTAGTTTGTACATTAACGAGTTCAAAAGAGTTGGAGAACCTTCAGAATCCACACGAAATTCCCCCCTTTCGGTGAAATAATCACTTTCGCGAATGTCCTGGGGATGTTCACCCTCAGCGATACGGACCATCCATAAGAATTTGTTGATATCGTCACCGGAATATCCAATCATCCCGCCAAAGATAATCAACACATAGTCTACATCCAAGGACGTCATAATATCGTAAGCAGCACTTTCGTTCGAGCTCATCGCTTTACCAACCAGGGCTATATGCGAATTATTCCATGTATTATTGTCCACGAGAGTAGTTCTACAAAAAAGAATTCACACAGCACACAATGTTAAATTAATTTCATATATTAAAATTTATAATTTCATATATTATAAAATATGTAAGGTGATAAAAAAAATTTTGATCATGAAGTTTTATGTGTTTATGAAATCATTATTAAAGTAATAAAACTGACGTTATTTATCATAATTTTGTAAAAATTAATTACCTGTTAGCCATACCAGCAATCTGGTATCCGTAATCCCACCAGCTCATGACTCTAGCGTCATTGGCGGTGTTTTGGGCTAACCAATAGTAAGCTTCTCGAAAATCGTCCAGTATGGCTCTGCCACCGTCGTTACTGTAGGAAGCCAAAACAATAGATGGACTAGAATAAGCATTACTAGTCACCCACGTGCAGTGTACGGTAAACATCATTAGTAGCATCAACATGCCGATAACAATGACATTGCGAAGATTGGGACCTAATCCGTCACTGTTGCCTTTTGATCTCTCATGCTTCATTCTGCGAAGTTTACCGGCCTTATCGTACAACGCTCTACCAGGACTTCTTTCTCTTTCTTCCTCGCTTTCCTCATTACTCTCATTATCGTTACCGTCTCTGTCTTCTTCTTTGAGGAACAGTTCCACGAGTCTACTGACAGCGACTCCAGCCAGTATACATACCACTGGAGTCAGAGTCAACATAAGCCTTACCATCACCCCAGCGAAATAAACGGCACTTATGGCATACAATACAACTGTAAGAAAATTGAATATTATTTTTAATTATTGATATATTATTCTAAAACATAGTCTCATCAAAGATTCTTACTGAAGACACGCTCGTCATTGACATGTATGATGCAGTACCAAAGACCAACCGGAAACATTGCAACCAGAACGTGCAAATCAAAGAAAAAGCTGAACCAAGTTGTTGGCTGATGTTCTGATACAGATGCTATTATAGGGATATGTATTTTAGCATAACCGGTATCCCACAATGAATAAAATCTACCACTCCAAGGAGCAATAATTCCAGCATACGTTAAGATGATCAAAATTATTAGCAGTATAATAGTTGTTACAATCACTACACCACCGAAATATTTTATTTCGGACTTGGTAAATACAGTTCTTAAGTATCTGCAATTAGAGAGTTCAATGTAAGTACACTGCAGCAATGTATATCAGAGTATGTCTAAAATTTACTCTAATGAAAATAATTCTTCTGCATTTATTTGTAATAACATAATCATGTTTCTATATCAATTATAAATTTGCAGAATAGTAGATAAAATTTTCAAAATTCAAATAATTGCAAGTATTACTTGACATGGATAATAATAAAATGTAAGCATTTGTAATTAGAATATAATGATTGTAACTCTTAAGTTTTTCAATTTATACTATTTTTATAATTTTTGTTAGGAATAGATTCTACGATCAAGCTCTTTAATTCTGTTTTAACTCTTATTTCTATGTCTTGTCAATTTGGATAAAAAGATTTTTATTGGCTATATATATTGATCATAATATGATTGTATTACTATGAATGAGTACTGCAAATTAAAATAATACAATAATGAACAAATTAGCGTTAGAAACGTACCTGAAAACTGCCACAAAGATTATCAGACCGAATACACCACTAGCTGCCATATGCTCAGAAGTTCTAATTGGCTGAAAACCGACGAATGGTATCTGCATACTCAACAAAAGTCCAAGAACGTAAAACGTAGTGTAACTCGTAAACAATCGAACGCTAAAGCGATTCATGAGCAGTAAGGCAAATACATGGAGTGGAATTAAATTAATAATGAACACGTAGCCTCCCCATGCCGATACCATATAGAAATAAGATAGGGCAGTTATGCTCGCCCAAAAGATTGAGCCAGTCTTGACTGATTTAACCCAAAGATAATAGGTAAGTTGCAACGCAAAGATCGCAATTCCTTCATTGTCGTAACTCCCGGCTACGGATCTCGAGATGTAGCCAGGTACGATGGCGATAAAACAAGCGGCGAACAAACCAGCCCCGGCACTCCATATTTCCTTCGTTAATAAATATGTAAATATGGCAGTAAGGCCACTAAAAATTGGAGCTAGAAATACACATATGTCTCTTATATGCACTGGTATGTTCAGAGAGTGCAGTATGTAGTGTATCGATCCAGATGTTATCATAAGTCCAGGATATACTGTTCCACCAACAATCCGACCCAAAGGATACCAGGCCCGTTCGTCGAACCAGTTTAGAAAATTGTAAAATCCATGTTGAACCATGTACGCTGTTGCTCTGTAGTTGAACCTGAATTTAAAACATATTTATTACATTTTGCCAATTAGTCGAAAATTCTTAACTGTTTACTTATAAAACTTTTGTTCTAAGCTGTTTACTTGTAAAAATGAATCAACATACAGACAGAATAAACAAAATAGAAATATAAATCCTTTTAAAACTTAAATTTAAACTTTTTAAATTATTTAAACAATTAATATCCATAGCCAAACCAGCTAAGAACAGGTATTGTGTTAGCATATTTGCTAAATAATAACAGTATAATCTATTGTTTTTCTTATATCTGTAAAAATTTATTAGGAAACAAGCAAATGCTACATTATGAAATCATAGGTTTTCTATAATTAAATTAATGTACACTCTTTTAGAACTTCATGACTCTGTTTTTTATTTCTTGTACTATTAACTTTTTTTTCACTTTAGTCAAATATCAAACATATAACTTTACAATTCCAAACTATTATACTAGTTCAGCTATGACAAAAATTTAAAGTAAAATAGATATATATTTGATATTTGATTAAGGATATCCTATTCTTAACTCTTAAGTGTCAAAGTCATTACATTGTCAGTTTTATATATGGTAAAAAAAGCTAAGCAAGAAAACAAAGTTGATACAAAGTGTAGTTCTATCTTTGTTATTCATTGAATGTCAAAAAGGATAAAACGTTTTTTTTACTGTACCTCTTAAAAAGAAAGTAGTCAATATGACGATACTGGTACTGTTGTAATAATAAAGATCTTAAGAGCTGATATTATATTTGTCATATGTTGATTGGCTATAGGATAAAGATGTCTAAAATTTATTTTGTAACCAATTAATATGTTTGACAAATTTATTGTATAACAAACATAATATTAGCTTAAAGTAAGAAGAAAAGTTATAGTACAGATAAAAAAAAAATATGCTCCATTTTTCCTGCATTTCTGTTGTTAAATTATAACTGGCAAAAGTACAAGGAAGACACAATGGATAGAAATCTACTCTAAAATCATGATCAGATTTCCTGGCAACTGCTGGCATACTGCTAACACTTGACTATCTGAATACTTATTTTCCTGTATGCTCCAATAAGTTTTAAACCACTAAAGGCTGACTGTTCTATATTTTGATAAAGTTTATCTGTTAGGTAAGTAGCAAGATTATCCAATTATGTGCACGGATTGTCAGATTTATCTAACAGGTAAACTTTATCGAAAGATGGAACAATCAACCCTTACTCAAACTTCTGTTATGTAACGGGAAAACAATATAACGATAGTTTATCACAAAATATAATAGCGCATGTCGCATCGAATGCTCGTACACCAGGTTACGTACCAGGGATCAAACTCGTGTATGATGCTTTCGAAGCGTATGACCGCGAAAAGCCTCGAGGCGAAACCCGAGATCCAGGCAAGTAAAAGAACGGTGAAGGTGATGAGGGAGCTCAGGCCAGCGGCGTTCGTCAGCGTGGAGGACTTCATTTGTTTGGTAGTCGACCTCTTATCAGGGAACATGACCTTAGCGTTAGCCGACGATGTGGAGGACGATGATAAAGAGGACGACGAGGGTAACTGCTGTTGCTGCTGCTGTGACGACGACGACTTGTTCGGCAACATTGTTTTCCCGTTGACCCGCGTCCGCCACGAGCGTGTTAATAACGTGCTACGCACCGTGTATTATTATATCCGCGTATTATCGATACTCGCAGCTTGGCGCGTTCGCCATATGTGCCTCCAGAACACCCGCGATCTTGTGCGATAGCGGGGCGCAACGAATTATCAAATGTCTCGCTGTACACTTGAGCTTGGGAGGCTAGGACACGTCGAACGCCGGCTACGTGTTAACCATGAGTTCCACCGTAGCAACTGCGGAACCCGCGCCAGGGTGCAGCAGTGGACAGGAAGTCGATGGCGTTCGACTTCGAACATGCGATACCGCCATATCGCTTGATATCGCTCGTTCAGCCTTCGGAGTGGAAGGTTTTATGCAATTTCATATACTGACGTTCGACGCTCATTTTTAGCGTCAAAACAGGCCACGAATGTCAATCGTCAATCTTGATTATGTAGCCTGTTTTAATGCTAAAAATAAATTTCGAACGTCGGCATGAAAATTACAGGTACCTATAGGTGTTTGGTACTTTTTTGATTGGACAAAAACTAATCAAGAAATTCTTATAAACGCAATTGATAATTGTGGGATTAATAATTGGGTACCACTTGATATTTTTCAAAAATAATGCTATTTTTACTTATCAATTAAACGTTATTATATTTGAAGTTAACGTTATTGTATTCAATCTGCTTTATGATGCAGTAATTACGATAACTAAAATACATCTTAATTATTATAATTGTTTTATAATGCTGAGATTTAATGGCATTTATGTGTTAACAATTTGTGTTAAACAATTGTTCTTTACAAAAGCAATTCCGCGCGGTGTTTTATTAAAAGCAACGGAAGTTCTAGATTAGTTCGTAACTTCCAGATTTTTAGATGCAACACTAGATTTTAGAGCGCAACATTATCGTCGTTCGGTCTTTAGGTTTGTATTCAGAACACGTTTTTATTGATAAAAGCGCACTTTTATCTCTGAAATTCTATAGTATGCGTAGCGTAAGCTATATAGCATGTTGAAGCGCTAACATCGATCGTTATAAGCGCGTTCTGAATACGGGCCTTAATCTTTTTACGTATGTAGTCAATACGACGCTAAACAAACGTTTTTAAATCGCGAGATTTAAAAGGAAGGGAACGTCTGTTAATGATAAAATAAGAATGGAACAAAATAAAATTTTAATTTATTAAAAGAACAGACAGATTTATGTAAGTAACACGCAAAATAAAAGCACAAGCCATACGTTATATAACCTCAAGGAGAAAGATTAAAGGCGCAAATTTCACCAGTAGTACTAACACCTTTATTTTAAATAATTTGAAATGTAAAAAATGTTTATTAATGAAACAAACCTCTGTTGAGAGTGCTGAAGATTTATATACTGTACACATTTCACAATTTTGAAATCGTTGCAGACTTCAAGTAACATAAATAGTTTAATTTTGTTTAGCTATAATTTATGTAATTATTATTATGATATATCTTTATCTATACATAAGTTTACATAATTCCAACTTAAAATTAAAAATTTTGTTTTTGCAGAACATAATCTAAACAGAGGAATGTCTACAACACAAATAATATAAATAAAATAGATTGCGACTCAAATGTTCTCTAGTAGAGCAAGATTAATAAAACGCACAGGAAAGAATCCCACTGGACGTTATGACTTTTTAAAGCTTTTAGTCACTGAATATACAACAACATCGTCTAAAGGTAAAAGATTAATCTTTAATAAAATTTTTAATGCTAAAGGAAGTTTGAAATGAGTTTTTGAACAAAACTTACTAAAATTTTTTTTACCAAATTCTTTAAGACCGTACAATTGATACACAATAAACATACAAGAAGAAGAAAAAGAAGAATTTTGTTTTTAGTTTTATTTTTTTAATTTTTGAAGTTTAAAAAACTGAAAAATAAAATTATTTCAAATCATTTAATTTCTGTTTAAAGTCTGAAAAAGTCTGAGGACTGTTAGAATTCATATGTTCTAATTATAATATATTAGTAATAAATTAATAATAATAAATTAAAAAATATCGAAAAAAGAAAAGGGATTCATATGTTCTAATTATATTTAATTATATGTTATCACCTGCAAAAGAATATAAGTTTATCAATAAAATTATTACCTCTTTTGTGTTATATATATATATATATATATATAAAACACAAAATATATATATATATTTAGAATCTGTGTAACACAATAATTAATCAACATCTTTCAAATTATTAGACGCACAAGAGCAAGTACTGGCAAATTTGGCGAATTTTGCCTATGATCCTGTAAACTATGGATATATGAGACAGCTAAAAGTAATTGATATATTTCTTAATGCTTTATCTCAAAGTAATTCAAAGTTAGTGCGTTTTGGTATTAGTGGTCTCTGCAATTTATGTTTAGGTAAGCATATTTATATTACATGCAGAGTCACATATATTTGTTGTATTATATATAATATTCTTTTCAGATGGAATAAATAAGTTATATATCCTGCGCAATCAAGGTGTTGAGTTAATATCATCGTTACTTGCTTCTGAAGATGAAGATATTTTGCTTGGAGTGATTACTACCTTGATGTTTTTGGTAACACCTGAATCAGTAGACGAGATAACATCGCCTAGAATAATTAAACGCATGCTGGAACTTTCCGATCAATCATATGAACATAAGCGTGTTAAAAACGTAGCGACGTTATTTCTAAATGACTGTTGTGAAACAAGTGCTGTAGAAAAAGTAAAGACAGAAAACCAGTCTGTTTGTGAAAAATAAATTTATTGAATTTATTGAATCCAATACTTTTTGTTGATTTAAATTGGTATTTTTGAGTAACTTGTAAGTATAGAAAGTGATATCATGAAGCTAATCCAATTCTTTACTGGGCTTCTAAAAAACCACTCTGTAAAGACTACCAAAATACGATCATTTGCTGATACAACGATAAACAATTTGAGAGAAGGAGATCAAGTGTCGGTTCTGAAAATAATAACAAATGACGATATACTCAAATTTGCTGAATTAACAGGCGATCATAATCCAATTCACACTGAATCAGCAAGAAATATTGCGCACGGTGCTTTACTCAATGGCTTAGTGTCAGGTTTAATTGGCACAAAATTACCTGGTGCAGGTACTATAGTTATCGAACAAAATATTACTTTTCCTAAACCGTGTTATGCTGGCGATACTGTAGAAGTTATAGTTAAAATTACATCAGTAAGAAAAATCATTAAATGCGTGTATATGTGTATTGCTAATGGAGATAGAATCGTATTAGAAGGAGAAGCAAAACTTATGAGAAAGATATTGTAATATTTCACATTGTAAAAATATTTATAACACATAAAATATATTATAGAAATATTTAATAAAAAATTTAGTAAAACTGAAAATTTTTTATTTTATAAAATGCATGTATAAATACCTTTCTATTAGCATGTATATTGATAATTATGGAAAATACAGCTATTTATACGTAATTAAAAATTTGGGTGTTACTAATGTGTACATAAGATATATTCCAATATAAGCAATTAAAATGGGACTCTTACATGATACTTGAAGTTTTGCTTAGCAAGCATTCCAAATATGAACATTGCGACATGATATGACAGGTTTAAATGGTTTAAAGCATCGGCCTTATATTTGAGTTGACTTTTGTGTAGTGATATGTGTAGTGAAAAGAATTTTGCAGTAAATATAAATTAAATTTATCTATCAAAATTCAAAATTGTGGAATTTCTCAGAATCAAGGTATATTGTTTATTTTATCTTTTTAAATATTTAAGAATCTATAATTTAATCTTCTGGTTAATATAGTTAAAATTGAACAGAAAGCAATGTTAATAGCAGTAGTAATTCACATTTCAGATCAAAATGTATTTAACATTAGTGATGATGACTCTTTGCATATCGTATTCTTATGCAGAAAATAATAGCACTGTTACAAATATTAAATCATCAAATATAAAAGAACAGCCAACTGGCTGCGTCTGCGCCGTGTTTTTAAGCGGACAATTTAAAAAGGGTAGCAAGGAACAACCCAAAGGATATCCTGCACTTGTCCACGAATATCCTGATTCAATTCCATGCACTGCTATGGGAAATAAACTTTGTATCAGCAAATGTCTTGATGTCGTAAGTATAAATTTTAATCGTTAAAAAATTATATCCTTAATTTTTAATAATTATTAGTAATTAATAATTTTGCATTAGCCTTCTAAGTTATCTTAAAATAATTATTAATAACAAAGAATTAAAATATTTTGCAGATAGTGAAACATTTACCAAACGGTCAAGCAGTTCTATGTGCCTCTATCGATCGTGATTGTTACAAGGAAAGAGTGAGTACACAGAAATAAAAATTCATTTGTATTATATCTTCATTTGAAGTTATTATAAGATAAAATTATTTTGTGTATTGAAATTTTATATCATCTTAATGATATTTTTTGACAGGCTTATCTTTTCATCAAGAATTGCAAAGATGAATGGATAAACACGAATCTATCGGCCGGTAGAGAATATTGTTGCAAAGATGGCATGCCATATAAATGTTAATTAACATGTGTTTATAGGATAGCATTTTACAACGAAATGACTTTAATTTTTATACGATTGTAGTTTGTAATATTTGTAAACAATTTAAATAATTTTTAATAAATACATTTGCTCAACGCTCATAATACTTTGAATATCCCACCGCTTGTCTAAATATAGCTCGAAGATCATCAGATACGCTCCACAAAGACACACGCAGGAATTCAGCACGAATATCTCAAACCATCACTATCCTATATTTAGACCTCGAGGTGTGAGAATTCTGTGTACGCGGTATCAGTGCAGTCTACAATTCGTAAAATTTGAATTAAAATAATCGTTGATTACCAAGGTATATTCTAAACCTCTACTTTAAATTACTAAGTCAAGTTCAAGCGGACCTCAGGAATTTCAATCAGATTACACAATGCCAACTTTAATTTACACGATCGTACTCGTTTATTGTTGCAATTTCACGACCACAGCACTTGGTCAACAATTCTGTGAAAATATTAAAACTAAGTATGGTACAGTCATAAGCGCAAAGATGTGTCACATTTTATAGAGATTGGCTAGGTTGCGCAACACACGATTAGGAACAATATCAGATAGTGTGTAATTAAACATACGCAAAATGTGTGCACGGGTTCTGGCATGTCCGCTGTGTTCGCAACCTGGATTCCTAACACTTGACGCGCTGCGAGCTGGACTTGTAAGTGTAGCGACTCGACCCCTTATATGTCCTGTTTGTAACGAAGTATTGTTAGGCATAGATAAATTAACTATACACCTGTTTGGTCACACGATCAATCTGAACAGTGCTACATCAGAGTCGTCTAAATCTGCAGACATCGCTGCTGCCGATGAACATCTGGTCGCCGTTCATAACGCGCACAACATTGCACCGCAGAACTGGAACATATTGAAGCAATTAGATAAAGTTGAAAGTGGCAACAACAGGACTTGCACAGAATCGTTAAATTCGGATGTGCCAAATGTAGGAAATATCTCTGCTATAGATTCCCAGCCTAAAACGCAAAGCCTAGATTCATCAACGAAAGGCGCGAATCAATCTAGTTTTATATCAGATTACAATCATGACATAATAAAAGTAAACATTCTTCCACAATCAAATGGAAATCACAATACGGTCCAGAAAGTGATCGCAAATCTGCAACAGGAAACATTGAAAACAAATTGTGAAATGCAGTATTTTTGTAATGATAATATCAAGCACTTGAATGTGTCCCAGGAAGCTATGCAGATGGAAAAAACAGCTATTTCAGATTTAATTATAGCGACAAAGGTGGCAGAAACTATGGATGCCAACATTTATCGAAATGTTGGAAAGGAATGTACCGAATCAAACACTGGTCAACGTGTCTTAAAAGAAGGATTAATAACGGATTTAATTGAAGAAGAGCATGATTTGCCTAATTTTCAGTCAGTCCACAATATAATTGCAAATGTTTGTGCGAGAAAGTCACCGGAGGAGCGCAATGATAAGGAAGGTTTGTCTAATGCGAATAACACGATATTCGAAACAAATGTTGGGGATCGAAATCAAAATTTAGAACAAATATTACCTCACACGCAAACAAATGCCAAAGCCATCCGTACGATAGCACCGAAGGAAAAAACAGAAAGATGTAACTTGTGCGGCTTTTATTTTCCTGACACCGATATTTTAGCTTTACACAAACAATTGGTGCACGAGCAGGAGTCAAGCAATGGTCCAGAAAAAGTTCTTAAAAATTACTCTTGCTATCTGTGCTCCAAGGTGTTCAAAATGCGAGGCAGTTTAATGGTACATATGAGAGTAGCCCACATTGGATATAATTCAGGTAAGTAATCATTATATCTAATTAATAATTAATTCAATATATTACTCATTTCTTAAAACAATGGCACAATTCAAAAGACAACATTTTTCGGAAAAGTTTTAATATTTTGAACCATTAATATTTTGTAATATTAATTTTGAAATGCAATTTTGGTGTAATCATTCACCATAGAGGAATAAAAGTATATACTTTTAAAGTATGTTTTTAATTCGTTTTTCAATTAATTAAAAAATGACCATTTTTTTTCATTGTTGTAGCAAATGAATGATTATATAATTATATTTTTTATAACTTGATATAATACGCAATTAAAGTTCTTCATACATGATAGGTTCTTTTTCTAAAGGTGACCAAAATGAAGTTGCATGCGGCGACGCTGGATACACGTGTCCCACATGTGGGAAGAAATTCAAGAAAGTGAGGATATTGTCAATGCGTTTTGTTTACGATTCTCATTGCAAATGGTACTCAATAATAATATAAACTTTCCTCTAATTTTAGGAGCAACATGTAATACAACATTTAAAGACTCACGAGGGGAAGCAGTGGGAGTGTGATACTTGCAGCAAGATGTTTACGACGAAATATTTTCTGAAGAAACACAAACGACTACACTCGGGAGAGATGCCTTATAAATGTAAAATATGTGACAAAAGCTTTACCTTCCAGCAATCGTATCATAAGCACAGACTCTATCACAAGGACGATAAGCCACACACCTGCGCGACTTGCGGCAGATCATTCAAGGAACTCTCCACATTGCACAATCATGAAAGAATTCACACCGGGGAGAAGCCATTCGCCTGCGAGACATGTGGTACGTTACGACGAAAGAACGAATATTAAAGACAAAGTCGATGCAGAATTAACCAAATAAACAATCGTGGTTGAGATTGACTAACAGTTACCATTAATTATTTTGTTTGCGTAGTATCTATAATATTATGGTGTGCTGTGCATGGCTTACTGAAATGCAGGTAATTTTTCACGAAAAACGCTTATCTTGTAAGTGTGCTGGCCACAACAATAATAATCCTCTTACAATAGCCGTACTAATTCTTCTGCAGGAAAGTGTTTCCGTCAGCGTGTTTCGTACTTAGTCCATCGTCGAATTCACACAGGCGTGATGCCTTATAAATGCACAATGTGTGGCAAAAACTTCCGATACAAGGTACAAAGTGATCATTGAGTTTTTTCAGATGTATGCTCTGTCTTCTAATAACTCACACATAATTCATGCTTATAGGTGAGTCAAAGAACCCATAAATGCCCTGTACAAACTTCAGGCAGCACCCAGCAATTGGCATCTGATACACAAGAGGCTAATAACAGCATAATCAGGTCACTGGTCGCAGATACCTTGCAAGAAAATCAATCAACCAATGAGGAAAATAAGTTTGTTTTGATAATAAATGCCCAAGGACAACCTGTTTTAGCACTGCAGTCAGAATTAAATAACATATCCTCCGAGAGAAAGGAACAAGACATCGAATTTACAGGCGTCAACAATACTAATGAAAATACAAAGAGCAAGACGTGGAATACTAATGATCTTAATAGTACAGGACTCGAGGAGTCGGTGGAATCAATTGAAAGGGTACAATCGGACAACAAAAAAATAGATACAAAAAACACGAACGATTTCTTTTCCATGGTAATGTCGCCCCTTGAAACTAGCATATCGTCTTCGACGTTTGAAATGGAACACTTGAGAGTATCTTCACCTAAACGTAAAGAGGATCCAATAGACTCTTACACTGACTTTCCACAAGTCTCTGGAAATGTACAAATGAATTTAGAATCAAGCATAGAGCAAAGCTTTAGCCATAATAAGGATGTCACAGGGTCTCTGCAAACCATAAATGAAGAATCATTAAAAGAATTGCTGTATGGTATGGATAGAAAATGAAGCAAATATATACTTACAATTTAAGTGGCTTTTAAATGATCAATAATAAATAAATATTATGAAGTATTAATCATATCTGAAGATTCTAGACTGTTTAATTAATATTGAACATTTAAGGACTATTTTAATAGTACAAACTATTAATAATAAAACTTCATTTATCTAAACATGTTAAGGGACAAAATAGTTGGCACCATCTATTTTTCTACTTTCTTGGCATTCAATGATTACAACAACTAATAAAGATTACTTGTATTCACTTGTGTCTTACCAAATAGAAAACATTGAACAACTCAACTATGAGTTTGTATAGTTAGAATTGAATATAAATTTGTATGGAGGATATATAAATAGAGTTCTACCATAATAAAATAGATTAGCAACCACATTGTAGATAAAATATTACAGAACAAAAATACTTACTCAAAGTATAAAACTTGAAAATTATTGTATGATTGCTGTTGCAATTTGATTATCATCTTCGTGTATAAACTGTATAAACAAAACAATTGTACATAATTTATTAGTTTTAGAAATAATAGCAAATTTGACATAGATTAATTTCCAATGTTATAAAGACTGCTATACATGCAGATAAAATGTAACAAAAGTAATGTAAGTAGTCTAACAGATAAAAAATGTATATTATATAAAAATTCATATTATTTATTGTGAGTACAAAAACTGTTCTTTTAGGAAACACAGTAGACACAACATCATTCTATCCTTCTTAACACTCAACGAATAACAAAGGTAAAATGACATTTGTGTCAACTGTGTCTCCAAAAAAGAAAGCAGCCAGTCTTTGGATGTAGGATAAAAATAAAAAATAGTAGAATATACCAAATTACGTGTTACAGAAATGAATAATGACATATAAAACCTCTACGAGTCACTCAAAAGTCTTTTCCTGAAATTGATCTTGCGATCACAAATTCCTGTCAACAAAATTGCAATATTATAAATAAGAAACAAAGCGACATAACCTACCGCGTTTTGTTGACACAGCATCCATCAATACTTTTGATTGAACGTCATATATACATGTGTTCGATTGCAAGTGTGTAAAATTCTTCGATATGATTGGTTCTTGCTCTTAGTTCTTTACTGGAAAAATATGTATAAGCTAATCGTATTAAAGAATTTCAAAAACAATTGTTTTTGTAGCAAAGCAAATCAGAAGAGTTTTGCAAATTGAATAATAAAAACATGCTTAAAAGTATTCGGTAATATTAGATCGTGCGTTATTTTTAATCTCTATATATTTTTATATTTCTTTAATATTTAATATTCGTTCCTGTTCCCCGAATATTTCCTCCATTGTATATAGAATCTTACGGTGACCGTTGCAATTAAGTGCAAATTAATTAAACAGGTTAAGTTAAAATATAAAATGTGAATTTTTGTATTCAATTTGTACTCAGGGTATACCGGTGGTTGCACTCGTTCTTCCAGTGAAAAACGTGAGGAACAGACCTAAAGGCAAGTGCACCCCCTGCGTTATCGGCTAAGATCACGTCCGACGTATCTATTGGTCGGCGCGACCGGAAACTCGACGCGTCCACCAATCACGTGCGAAATAGCCGGAACGGTCAATGCGCGGCCACAACATCGAACATCTCGACGAGCTGCTTGCGCTGCGGTCGGAGATATCCTCGTAGCAGACGACGCGCGCCGCACGGATCGACTTGACAGCTCACTCCGTATTTTCACGTGTCCCATCGCGCATCGCGTTGCGTAACTGGAGTCCGACTTCCAGGGAGGAGCTCCCTTTTTGCGGTGAGTAAGAAATGCTTTACGCCACTCGTGGCGACGAGGATGTCATTTTTATCGCCGTCGTTATCGTCGGTTGCATCGTCGGATCGACCGATCGACGGACGACAGACAGCTGATCGAATACGACCACGCAGAGACAGGCAGGAAAGCAGGCTGTTTTGACATTGCCATGGGTAGCCGTTTGCAGTCGTTTATCGATGCGACCAATTGGCCGCAGCTAGATACGTTTCTCCCAGCCAATCGTAACTGCCTACCGCGATCGGGAACGGAAATCTCGCGCAATCTGTTACAACACGATGAAAAGAGAGCTGTTCCTTTATTCCGCCTCCGCTCCCGCAATGTCGTCGTATTTCAACAACGACGCAATGCGACGCAGTGAAACGGAACTGGCAACGACGAGAACCGTCCGCGATTGCGTCTCACGTTTAATATTTAAACGGCATTACCGAACGACGTAATACCTCGGTCGGTTTGAACGTACATATATATATATATACATTTACGATCCGAGATCGGACCTTGAAACGCGTGAGCGTGCGTATGTTTGCGCAAAAGCGTTTCGCCTTTAGCGGGGCAGTACTCATAAAACCGGTCGTCGACGGAACGACAGATAAGATACTTTTATCGCTCGAGTATAACGAACGCGAAGCGATTTTGCCGAAAAGTCGATGTTTCCCCAGGGCGACTTGTAGGAATTCGCATTATCTCGAGACTCGCGTGTCGGACAAACAGAGATGAGGCTTAGATGGATATGATACGCGCGCTTCTCCTTCGATCGGCTCTATTTCGCCGTAAAGGTGAAACGATGACAAAATCGTTTCGTGCGAACGTCATCAATTTCCGGCGATAACGCGCACGTCAGAATAAATACACGAGAGCGCCCGGGTTACATAAATGGCACGCGCGCGCGAAAGGTACCGTCAGCGTCTCGCGCGTGTATTACGCACGTGTCTTTTCTTTTTTCCTCTTTATACTTTTCAACGGAGAGAATTCGATCAATCGATCACGCGAACAGTCCGCGCGACACGTAACTTCGAGTTACCTCGGTAAAGCGGGATTTACGTGAACGTGCAGGGCGACCACAACGGACAGGTTCTCGCGCTAGGCCGTAGGAAAAATGTAAATTTAAAAAACGGTCAGGTAAGATGGCGGTTCGCGCGCCACGCGGTCGCGGCGCAGGAGCGGCCAGGCAGGATCCCCGGACCCCCGGGTCGAGGGGTGATTGTTGCGCGCACGCGCGCGACAAGGGGCTGATGTTCCCTTCCCGTGCGCTCCCCGTCTCGCGGGGAAGAAGTAACTTTTAATCGTTTATTCGGTTTATTTTAAAATTTTCTGGTCCCTCGACGCGGCCATATTGGCCAGTGACGTCAGAAGCGAGAAATCATGCGATTTTTTTTCCTCGCGCTATATATACACGTCGTAATAAATTAGTTCCTCGCTCACGATATAATGTCATTCGCGTTCGATAGTCATATTGGCTGGGGTGTCCCCGACCTGGTGTCGCAATCGAAAAGGGAGTGGAATTTAATCGAAAATTTTAACAGTACATGGAATCAGTAGAATAAAAGAAATAGCACGCGACACTCTACGTTTTCGTGAAACGTGATTTTGAAATTAATGATATGTATATATCGAGTTTCTTAAATATTTTATATATTTTATTGATAAATAGTGGTCTTAATATTAGCGCATATTTTGTTCAGTAATGTAAATGATTTTGAATTGTTTTATGTTTTCTATTAATTCTGTATTAAAATACTGACACATGATACAAATTGAAAAGATTACTAATTATGTAATGTTACTTTTTTAGTTTTAGTCATTTTTCTCGGAAACGAAAACTTGCATAAAAAGCTTGTTTCCATTTATTTTATCATCTCGTGACACATTAGGGAATTTTTGCAATATCGTTTATCCCTAATACGGTGAACACTAAAGTCATGTTATCTTTTTCTTCACAACTAATTCAGAAAAGAATAACGTGACTTTAGCGTTCACCGTATTAGAGATAAACGGTATTGCAAAAACTCCCTATTCGCTCTATACCTGTTATTTTTCTATATCTCAATTTGAATTTCTTGCATAGTTCACTTTTCTTCTTTTCCTTTTCACATTGGAGAGAAGAAGATAAAAGATGGGCCGTACAAGAAATTCAGTCATAGGGTAAGGGAAAAGAACAGGTTCTATGTTCTACTTGCATAAAAATTCATTACATCTCTTTCTCAGAGTACCTCGATTCTATAACTTTTAACGACAGTTGGTATCGTTACATTCTTATTGCGCAGTTTTTTTAGCATACATAATGCGCAATAATATAACGTGACAATACTGATAACTGTTGCTAAAATCAGTCAACACAAATTAAAAATAACATAATATCAGTGTTATAATTTTGCATTTAATAATATACAGATATATTAGAAAAAATTTTGCTTTCAACAAAATTAGCACTTTTTAACAGCAAATATTTTGTTTGTAATAATAAATTTAATTGCTTTTGCTCAACATACTTTTCAGTTTTGTAAATAACAAATATTTGTTTATTGTTAGCTAAATATATATTTAATTAAATTATTTTTTATTTAATTGGTATAATTAATTAAATTATTTTTGTTCGTTACATTATAATCATTTTTCTTTTGTAATAAAATTTTAGTTTGTAAAATGAAATATTTGTCAACACTAAATTGGGGAATCTTTTATATAGAAAGATTTAATTCATGAGAGATATACGATGTCTATTTCACTAAAATAAATTCTTATTTATAAATATACGGCAAAAATTTTATTCTCAGCAAATAAATCATCCTTTTTTTTCACAATTGTAATATATATATAGATATACTTTATAGAAAAGTACACTTCATCATAATTAAATTCATTTATATATATAATATAAACATAAACAATAAATATCGAAGAAAATGTCACATGTGACATTCGCTTGTGAATTCGACTTTTTCTCAGTATAGCTTAAACTGTATCAAACAAACTTATTATTTACACCAATTAAACTATTTAGTCAGTATAAACCAACATCTTTGTTATCTACAGGTTAAAAAATCTAGCAAAAGCAATTGAGTTCGCCGTTAAGTATACAAAATACATGATTGTGTCGTTAAAAAAGATTTCAACTAAAGTTTTGTTGAAGGCACTCAAATTTCTTTTCTTAATGTGATACAACGCACAATATTATCATTACATTACTGAGCGCAAAATTATAA